TTTCTTTTTTTTTTTTTTTTGTTTTGAAAATCCTAAATTTTAAATTTAAGAATTTAGAATACTAGTTTACTCCATAAATTTTAATTTAATTGTATTTTGATTTGATATCATGAAGAACTGGAAATTTGATTGTATCAGTTTAAAAAAAAAATAATTTTTAGTATATTGAAGACAATTTAAAGTTTTTCTTAATAATTAAAAATAAAGAACCGTAAAGAAAGTTTTTGGAAAAAATAAAAAGGATAATTATATTATAATTTTATCAAATGATAATAATTTTTAAAAAATTTATAATGTAGGTTTGTTTATTATTATTTTATAATTACCATATACATATATAAATGACTAAATAATTTTATGTACATTGATTTTTGTAAATATTTATTAATTCACAGAATGTAATTTCACTTTTAAAGTTGTTTTTTTTTTTTTTTATAAGTTGCTGTAATTAATATCATTATTTAGTTGCATTTCAATTTGTTCCAAATCGCCAGCTAATCTTAATATAAGGGAACCATTTGAACAGTTATTGCAAAGAGTATAGAGATTTTTTAATTTTTCTTTGAAAAGAGTTTGAAGTTCTTGTATGGTCGGCTGATATTCATACACTTCTATAGTTGATGCATTTTCAGTGGGTTCAAAAGGTGCTATTTCAATTTTAATTTCATTTGGCTTGTAATCGACTTGCTCGAAAACTGCTGTCGTTGTAGTGTGAGAAAATTTCACCAAAGTATGGAGAAAATTGTCATCTCTTAATGTTATCGTTTTAGCTGACTGTTCATCTTTGGAATCTTCATTTGTTTTTAGACTGGAAGATGGTTCTTCTATGTAATTCCAATCTGGTTCTTTTATCACTGTCGAAGATAATATTACTTCTTCGTCTTTTTTTGAACTTTTTTGTGTTGTCGTATTTTTTATAAGAGTTTTATGACTTTTAGACTTTTGAGTTTTTAATTTTGGCTCTATAATTATCGGTGGATGATTATGACTAGACTGTAATGATACTGATAAATAAAATCTTTGGAACTGTTTAACAATTTTACTGTCATCTGCTAAGTCTTTCCTCAAATTTTCTATAAGCTAAAATTAAAATATTAATGTAAATTAAAGTCGTATAAACATGTAAGAATTAACACAAAATATAAACCTTTTTCTTTTTTCTCCAATCAGATTCTACTTCTAATTTGTAATCAGGATAAACTGTTATGTGCTTTATAGTCATTTTTGCTAAGCAACCCATTTTTTTACTCCCTACCCTTTTTTTTTTCGGTTTCAATTCACTAGTTTCTGAAACCTAAAAAGTTTTGTTACAATTTATTTTTTTGTTTTTTTTATTCAAAATAAAACATATATTTATTTCAAGTATTGATAAAATACTTATTATGAATTTATAATAATTAATTATAATTAATTTAAATAAATAATTAAAAAAAAAATGAAATGAATTTTATTAACTATTTTTTTTGACTCTGCTCTCGATTTGTAATATTTGCATCCATAAGCACACTGATAATGAGTAGTTTTATCAATTGTAAATGGAAGTCCAAAAAATCTAATTGGCATTGCTTTCAGTTGATAAAAAACTGTGAGATGATCGAAAAATTCTTTGGATGTATTTGAATCACTAATTTTATCATTTAATGGCTCTTTTTCAATTTTCTGCCCTAAAAAAATAAAAGTGTTATTAAAATGGATTTATAGTTTAAAAAATCAAACAAAAATAATTTTGAATGTTTATTTGTGGAAACTTACTATGTTTTTTTCGTGCACCGGAATCCCTAACACTAAAAGCAAAACCTATATCTTTCATTTTATCTAAAATTTCTTTAAAAGTATTCAAATCATTTATGTAACCAAGGACTGTGTCTTCTTCTATGGCAAAATCTAATAAATATTTGGCTAAAATATCTTCGACTGTATACGAAGATTCAACGGGTACATGAGAATATGTTTCGTATGCTTCTTCATTTTTTACTCCTTCAGAATATAAATTTTTCATATCTGTCATATTTTTTTTTTTTTTTATATTAAAATTAAAAATATTTATAAATTCGTATAATAAACTGTATTTCACTTTATAGTTTTTTAATAATAATTTAAAAAGTCTTAACGATGAAAAAGCAACGTTTGTAATTTAATTTCGTACAAAAAATTAAAATTTTCTAATATAAAAGTTAAAAAAAAAAAAAGCCTTTTATTAGAAGGCTTTGACAAATAAAAATAATATATATAAACATCAGCCATTTTTATTTTGTCCTTTCCTAACAAAGGAAAATGAATTTATGTTAGCGTAAACCAATCACGGTAGTGAGTTTTCTTGGTTTACAACCCTAGTTTTTTTTGTTCAGGGAAATGAGATTTGCATCTTGAAATTCCAGGGCTGGCAACTCTATTGAAAATATCAAGAATTGTTTCTTGGAAACGTTGATAGTTAGGTAACAATGTTTACATGAATTTTATTTAGTCGCTTATTCCAATTCAAAAGCTTCAATTTCGCTTATTAATTAAATAACGTATGTCATTAGAAAGTTGATGCTACTCCTCATGGCGTACCTTGTTTTCGCATGATAAAATGTAATTGGTAGCCCTATAAAAAAATAAAATTCCCAGACAAACTATTTAAATGCGCGGATGTTTGGGTATATTTCAAATAAACCGAAATTTTTAATTTAGAGTTTTTCATTTTCTCATTAGTTTGAAAAATTAATTCATGTTAAAACATTTTTATATGAGCACAAATCGAAGCTAAGGCTTATTTAGTTTTTACGTTGCATTTATTCAATAACTAAAATTCAAATCAATTCATGTGTTTATGTGCTCAGCTGTATATCAACCGTTGAAATTATTAATAAATGCTTCAGTAGATATGTTTGAAAATAGAAAATAAAATGTTTTTATTATTATTTTGTAACTGAAAAATGTTTAAAGGAGAAGTTCCTAGCAAACTAGTAAGTTAATATTATATGTTAGAAATAAATAAATAAATAAGAAATAGCATAAGGCTAATAAAATTTTTTTTATAAATTACAGATGTAACAATGAGTAAAGATGTGATCATCAGTCAATTGGAAAACAAACAAAACTGCCTAATTTGTAATGCTCAACTGGCAGTCTCAACACGAAATTGCTTTAACATATTTAAAACCATATTATTTCCTTTAGAGAAAAAAGCATGTGACTTAATTGGTAAGGTTTTAATCATTGATAATACAAAAATATTTATTATAACTAATATTCTACATTTAAATAAACCTAAAAATAAAATCAATGATTATATAAATCATAACTTTATAATACTGTGTAGAAAAGCAGGAGATAAACAATTTACTTAATTTTTTTTTTTTAATTTTAATATATGGTAATTTATGCAAAATTTTTGTTATATAGTTTTCTATTGAATATAAATAATTTAAATATATATTCAAAATAAAAATTTATTTTTAATGGCAACTACATATCATTGATTTTTTTTTTTTACTTTTCATAATTTTTTGTAATAAAAATAAAATTTTTTTTTTTTTACAGGGGCTGTATTAGATATTGAAGTAACAGAAAATTCTTTACATAGTGATGTCATTTGTAAAAAATGCTTTAAACTTGTCAATGAATTTGCCGATTTAGAATCTAGAGTTAGTGAAATAAAATATGAACTGACTACTAATTTTAAGAAAACAACAGAATTTTTGCAAAGTATAGAGGAAGACAGCACTGATACATGCAAAAGCGGTAAGATTAATAATAATAAAATATTTTTTATTGTTAACTAATCTGAAAAAATTAAATCAATTTAATTTTAAAATTCTATCTCTTTGAATAGAAAAAAAAAAAAAAAAATTTAATTTTCATATTCTTAATTAAAATTAATTTTTTTGTTTTTCCTTCATAAAAAATATATTTCTAAAACTTGTACAAACAAAAAAATAATTTAATAACAAAATTTTGAGTTAAATTTAATCCATAATGCTAAATTAAATTATATTTAAAACATTTATTTATTTATTTTAACTTTTTTTTTTTTTTGAAAAATGCATAATTATTCATTTATTAATTTTTTGATTTAATTAACACTTTTCACTGTAGACGATTAATTACTAAATTTGAATTAATTCTAAAATTGCTTTTGTTTTAATTTAACCTGGTAGGGTTATTTAAAATTTTAACCTCCTTTTGTTTACAAAAAATAAATAAACATAAATGTCATTTTACAGGGATTCAAATAATCCATAAAAAAGATGGCCAAATATTACATGAAAAATCGAGGATTAAATTAGAAGATGATAAATTAAATCAAATTGTTTTAAGTAGTGCAAAGGGAAGTGCAATTATATCAAAAAATATGATAGTTCTTCCTGATCAATCTAGCAAGGATGGAACAGATTTGGATGAGGTAAACATTTAATAAAATGAAAAAAAAAAAAAAAATTATTATTATTATTTTTTAATGTATTCAATTATTTATTTTGTTTCAGCCCAAAGTTATTGTTGTAGGAAATGGAGATTTAAATGAGATTGACGTAGAAGAATATGAAATAGGAGAAGTTATTGAAGATTTCGAAGTCACAAATGCTGATCACGAAGAGATTGTAGCAGTTCAAATTCGTTCTGAAAATGATGAAAATGAATATATTGTTAATCAGCAGGGTGCAGATGGGGAAATCAAGCATGTTGAAATGGACGGAAACAAATTTACGTGCTTACTATGTCCGTCTGATGGTGAAAATAAACCCTTTACTTGTGAGTCCAAAGATTTAGGATTTATGACTTTGCACCTTAAAGTTGATCATGATGTAGGTATCGAGGCATTAACTAAAAAATTAATAAAATTTTACTCTGTGTGACTTTATGTATGAGTTTCATTTAATAAATTTTTTTTATTGTTTAAAATTTTTTCGTAGACCCGAGTGTACATTTGTGATATTTGCGGACTTGAATTTAGAAAAAGAAATGATTTATCAGCGCATTTGGATGACCATGTGGCACAAGAAGAAGGAGATTTTCAATGTGAAGTATGCAATAGAATATTTAGTAACTTAAGACTTTATAGGATTCATAAAAGATTACATTCTTCGCAAAATAAATCGTGGTCTTGCGAAGTGTGTGGTAAAAAGTACAGGTTTGATTATTTTTTTTTTTTTTTTTTTTTTTTTTGTCTTTATTTTTCCATTTTCAACATACAAATTGTAAATCCTTGAGATATTTATTTTTATTTGAATTTTTATTTATTTATAGTTCGAGAAACTTATTAGAGGAACACAATAATACCCATACCGGAGTTCGTCCTTATGTTTGTTCAAATTGTGGCAAAGACTTTGCATCAAAGTACACATTTAAAGCCCATAAAAAAACGCATGAAGCTAGAGAACGAAATTTTTCTTGTTCGGCTTGTGACAAAACATTTTTGTCCGCCCAAAATTTAATCCAGCACGAAAAAACGCATTCAGAATCCAAAGATTACGTATGTGATACCTGCGGTAAGTTTTTTGACGATTTTATTTTCATTTCCCTGTAATACTACAACGTATATATATAATGTCTTAAACAATGTATAACATTTACGTTTAGGAAAAGGTTTTGGGTCCCTTAGAAATTTGGAAGTTCACAGCGTCGTACATTCTGGATTCAAGCCTTTTATTTGCGGTGTTTGCGGAAAAGCATTTGCTAGAAAAGCCGAAATTAAAGATCACGAAAGGACTCATACGGGTGAAAGGCCTTTTCAATGTGAATTTTGCGGAGCTCAATTTAGTCAAAGAAGTAATCTTCAATCTCACAAAAGAGTCACTCATTACGACGATCGGAGGTAAATTAATTCCTTCTTATCCGGAAAATTTGCTATTACATTTTTATTTTGGTTTTATTAAAAAGGCCCCATGATGTTTTTTTATTTCAGGTATAGGTGCGAGGATTGTGGTAAAGGGTTCAAGCGTCGAAGATTATTAGATTATCACATAAAAGCTGTTCATACCGGAGAGAGACCATTTAAATGCCCAACTTGCGATGCCACTTTTGTTTACCCGGAACATTTTAAAAAACATATTAGAATTCATACTGGAATAAAACCGTACAAATGTGAAGTATGTTAAATTTACCGTCGTTAATTTTTAACGTTTAATGAAAATTTATACATTTATTAATTTTTTTTTTTTTTTTTTTTTTGTCTTTTTAGGTCTGCGGAAAAGCTTTTAATAGTAGAGACAATAGAAATGCTCATAGATTTGTACATAGCGACAAAAAACCTTACGAGTGTTTGGTTTGCGGAATGGGATTCATGAGAAAGCCTTTACTGTATAATCACATGCAGCAAGCGGTAAGTCATTAATAATAATAATAATAATTTTTTTTTATTTACAGTAAAAGGGGGAATATTTTATCATTTATCATAATTTTTTATAAACGAAAAAATTTTCGTTTAGGGACATATCAATGATACAATTGTTGTTAATCAACCGAGACTTACCATAGAGGATGATCAATTAATTGTACCCGATAGAGATGTAGATATTGAAATGACAATTGTCGACGATAACGGTTTGACTCAAGAAGGAGTATTGGAAGAAGTAAGTTGTTGAGTTTCTTCAAAAATAAATTTTTATATAAGTGTCAGTTTCACCTTTACGGGTTTTTATTGTTGTTTCAGAAGCCAAAATTATATTTAACGGAGTTAAATGAACACGTTATCATACAAGGTAACGAAAAAACATTATTCATGACTGATGGTATGAAAATAAAAACTTTAAACGATGATGAAGACCAAGAACAATTGGTGGACGAAAGTGGAAATTTTGTCGATATGGATGGAAACATAATAGAAATAGGTAAATTAGAAATTAATCCAATGGAATTAAACGATGATTTAATTACAAATTATTAATTTAATTGAATTTATAGAGCAATTAGAAGATGATAGTAATATTGCTATGACTGCTCACATTAACGAACACGGTCAACTTGTCAACGATGAAGGACAAATAATAAACGAGCACGGACAAATTTTGACTGAAGATGGACAACCCCTTGTCGTAGACGAAACCGTATGTTTTTCTTTTTTTTTTATTCGGTTTAAAATAATAATCGAATGATTATGATGAATAATTATGTATAATTAATAATAATAATTGTTTTGTATAATATTACAGGTTAGTTTTTCAGAATGTGACGTCATTGTAAAAGGTGAAAAATCGGACGAAGAAAGTAATTATTCGGGTAAAAAACCGGAAGTGCATTATGTACAAATAAGACTTCCAGACGACGGAAATAACGAACAGAGAACTTGGTTTAACATAGTTGAAAATAATCAAGTGGAAAATGCCAGTTAATTTAGTGATAATAATTTTTTAATTAATTAATTAATTAATTTTTAGTTTAAGTACTTTAATAAAAAATTATAATAATTTTATTAGAACTTGACATTTGTTTTTAAAAAAAAAAAAAAAAAAAAAAAATGTTTTTGCAATTTATTTATATATAAATAGTGAAAAGTTGTTTAAAAAATTTCAAAAATAATAATAATAATATTTAAAATATGCGATCAAAGATTAGTATATACTTTCTGTTAATTTAAAAGAAAAAAAAAAAAAAAAAGAAAATAATAAATAATTAAAAAATTTAAAATATTTATTTGCTATGCCCAACTGTTATATATATACTGTTCCAGAAATATAATATTTCATTGTAATATTGAAATATTATATTTTTTTATTTTAAAATTAAAAAAAAATTATTTTTTTTCAAATTAGGAATAAAAAAAAAAAAAAAAAATTCATTTGGTAAATAAATGCTTTTTAAATTGTAAAAATTTAACATGATTTAAATGTAAAATAAAAAAAAAATTTTTATATTTATATTAATGAAAATTATAATAAAATGTACTATACTTCACTTCCTTCCTAATAATTTATTTATCGAAAGGTAATTTTAAACGAATGAAAAAATGTCAGAATATAACGAATAAAAAATGTTTTATACTTATTAAAAAAAAAAAGTTTTTATCAGCTTCAGCTTGAATTTTACCTGTTTTTTTTTTTAAATGTGAGAAATAAATAATTATTTAAATTTGATCTTTTTTTCATAAAAAATAAACTTGTTATAAAGTTCAGTTAGGTTAAAAAAAAATGATTTTTTTAAAAATAATTTTGGTAAGTATTAAATTTCTATTATAAATTTTAACTTTGATTATTATTAAATATTTAAATATTATTTTTAAATTTTGTAACTAATTGTTATGAAAAATTCAATCAATATTTTCTTTCACTTTATTTTTTTTATGAGACTAAAAGAAATTGATAAACAAAATAATTAACGACATTTTTAATGTTACGAATAACATTTTATGGTAAAACAAAAAAAAAATAACAATCACAATTTTTAAAAAATTTAACGTTTTTTTTTATAGCATTTGAACCAATAAATGAAGAAAAAACTTTTTGTAAACAATATATATGTTTGATGAATGGAAGATACGTTCACGTACGCGATTTGAATATATTTACAAATACTTCAGAGGATACAAAAAGGTAATTTTTATAATTTAATTATTTATTTTTATACCGCTTGTTTATTTTATTTAATAATTTCGACTAATAGATTATATTTTAATAATTTTCAGGTAGTAAATAATGGGTGTTCGTGGTTTAAATACATATATTGCAGATCGTTCAACTCTGTATTTAAAACCATATGAACTTTGTGATACTTATTTAATTATTGATGGAAAGTGTATTGCTTATCAATTATATCTTTCTTACTGTAATAACTATGGTATATTCGGTGGAGATTATGACGAATACTACAAAGTTGTTAAAAAATTTTTTTCCAAGTTATTACAATGCAATGTAACTCCTTTTGTATTACTCGATGGTGGTCACGAAGAAAAAAAATTAAAAACGATTTACAATAGAGGAAAGGAAAAAGTATTAGGTTTAAAACTTATTAGCAACGGTTTTTATTCAAATAAATTCACTCCAATTTTTTTAAGTTCGACATTTGTTAGCGTACTCAATGATTTAAATATATTATGTATGAGATGTGATTATGAAGCTGATGGAGAAATTGCCACAATTGCCAAAGCTTTAAATTGTCCTGTTTTAAGTTTTGATTCTGATTTTTTTATATACGATGTTGTATATATTCCATTTTCAACTGTTAATATAACTCCTGTGGAAAAAAAATCATCAGAAAAGGAAAAAATTAAATATTACATGCAATGTTCAGTGTTTGAAGTAACAAATTTTTTAAATGCACACGATGGATTCGACAAATCATTACTCCCCATTCTTGTTACTCTTTTAGGAAATGATTATGTTGACAGTTCAATATTTCATAAATTTTTCGATCATGTTATTATGGGTAAAAATAAAAATGCTTCTTTTACTCAAAGAAAAATACAAGGAGTTATCAATTGGTTGAAAAAAGAAAATTTTGAAACTGCAAAAGCTGGGATTTTAAAACACTTGAGAAAAATTGATGCTCCAAAAGTTTTAAGAGCCATAAATCAAAGTATAAGTGATTATGATAGTGCTTTTCTTTCTTCGCCTGTATACACACAGGTTTCTCAAATACTAGAAATTAAAAAAATAGATGGGTCTTTTCTTAAAGAAAAAAAATCCAATATTAATTTACCAATACCTTTATCGAATTCTTATTCTAAAGCCCATATACCTTCATTTGTAATGGACCTTATAACCCTGGGATCTTATTATACACATTTTCAAATTGAAGATATTAGGTCTTCATCATCTCATTTTGTTTCATTAGATCTAATACAAGCCATATCAGTTATTTTACATAAATATTCTGTGAAAAAATCAAATAAGTTTAAATTGTATGCTTGTTTTAAAGGAATGTACTGTCCTATTTTAGTGGAAAATATTTTTACAGAGTTTTTAAGTAATATAAATTTGGATGAAGTTTTAATATTGCCCAAAAGTAGTAGAGCTGAATTACTATATAAAATTGTAGATTTTGATGAAGATGATATTATTACAGTTGAAAGTTTTCCTAGTGATTGGTCAATTTTTTTAATTTCTTATGTATATTGGATAAAATCAATGGATTTATCAATAACTCAAGCTCATATTTATTCTTTATTTTTTATGGCAGTGGCAAATAAAGTTGTACAGAAAAGAACAGGTTATTATGAAAATAGTTCAGCATTTATGAAAAGTAATAAAAACTTTTTAAATGAAAACAATGGTACTACTATCAAAGTTAATAATGATTTAAAAAGTTTTACTGAAATGGTGAACAGTCTTAAAAAATATGAATGTTTACTTTTTCAAAAATTACTTATTCCTTTAAGGAATGACGACAAAAATAATTACAGTAAATTTTTTTCTCTTTCGACAATACATTTATTTAGTTGCTTTCAAAGTTGTCTTTACCATATAACTATCATTAATGTGTTACTCGATTATCCTTTTATACACTTTAGAATAAATGATTTTTACTCTGGGACTTTATTATATAATATATATATGCTTTTAAAAAAATCATACAACATTGAATACTTTAGTAAAAATATTTTTAAAAATGCTCCTAATGTAAGAAAAATATATTTTAATTTATGTCAAAATTTCATTAAATACACATCATGTCAAAAAGAACTCGATAGAAAAATAAGAAAAAGAAAAACTAAAAAAGTTAAAAGTAAAAATATAGATGATTTTATAATTCTTGATGAAAATACTGATAGTAATAATGAATTATATGATGATGAAGAAAATTCATATTCATTATTGCAAAAAAAATTTAATTATTAAATTTTGTGTGTAAATAAAAAAATTGCCTTAAAGAATTTTTATGTAGAGGAGTAAAAAATAAAAAGTTTAATTTTTTTATTTTAATTAAAAGTTTATATTTTGTTTTTTTTTTTTAATATATATAAATTGCTAGTATAATAAGCCTTTGCAAAAAATTATTTTTAAAAAAAAAGTGTCAAAAACATTAATATATATACTGATTTAAATGTAATTAAGCTATTTAAAATTTATAACAATAAGAAATGTTAATAACTTATTGTTGGTAACATAAAAAATTATTTTTTTTTATGGTCATTTTATTTTTATAATTAATTAAAGGCCAATTTTTTTATTTAATTCAAAGAAAACTTTACTAATTATATTTAATAATATCCATTTGAAAAAAATAATAATAATTTATGACAAATACAATAAATTAAGATGTGTTAAAAAAATAAATAATATTATTTAGAATATATTATAAATTTCATTGGTTAAATTACAAAAAAATTTTTTTAAATATATTTTATTATATATTTGATATGACATGATAAAAATTACTTATATTTATATATATATATATGTATATAAAAATAGAATATAAAATAATATATAACTTTTCTTATGTCAAAAAATCAATTAAATGCTTTAAACAAATAAAATTTTTTTTTTTTTTATACATATTACATAACTTTTGTATAAAATAAGTTAAAAAAAAAGTAAATAGAGATTAATGTGATAAAAGTGTAACCGAAAAAAAGTTCAAAACAATTTTTTTATTTTTTTAATAAAATAAATAAAAATAATTCGGCGAATATAAAAATGATTAAAAGAATTTTTCTTTTAATGTAAAAAAATATATATATATATATCTGAATTTAACCGAAATGTATAAAAAATATAAAAAATTACATTTTATTAATTTTTTTTTTTT